TAAAAAAATATACAAATATAAAATATTTTAAAAGTTTATCCAAAAAATATTAATTCATTTGTAAAACATATCCAAAAATATTAATTTGAGGCCTATATTTGATAAGCCAGATGATGTAATAGAGCAGCAGGAAATGCTAGCAGAATGCTTGGTTGTATAGGGAGAGGTATTAGCAGTAGAAAGAGGGAAGTGCTCATGCCATTGTACAGAACACTGGTGAGACCTCACTTGGAGTATTGTACACAGTACTGGAGACCGTATCTTCAGAAGGATATTGATACTTAAGAGTATGGGTTGTCAACCTGGTCCCTACCGCCCACTAGTGGGCGTTTCAGGATTCCAGGTGGGTGGTATCGATTTCAGTGGCTAAATCCTCTTTTTTTTGAGGATTTCTCCTTTTAGGCGGGCGCGCACGAGTGGCTATGCAGGCGCAAGATTTAAGTGACCGGCAGGAGGGAAGTGCTCCCTCCTGCCAGGCCACCTTCTGGACCCCCCGGAATGGCGTGCGGCAGTAGTAAGATCAGACGCGGCGAGGGAGCTCTAACTTCTCTGCTCTGCTTCCTCGCGTAATGTTTTCTGATGCTGCGGGAGCCGGAATATTATGTCATATTCCGGCATCAGTAGACTGCGCGTGAGGGAGCAGAGCAGAGAAGTTAGAGCTCCCTCGCCCCCTTGGATTTGAACTCTGCCACCCGCTAAAGTGAAGCCTCACTGGACCCCAGGGACAGATCCACATCAGCTCTCCAGGTAGGGAGGCTGGGTGGACATTTAATCTTAATAATTTGTGTGTATGTAAGTGTATGTGTGTGTCTGTAAGTGTATATGTGTATGTGTGTGTCTGTAAGTGTATATGTCTGTGTGTGTCTGTAAGTGTATGTGTGTATGTGTGTGTAAGTGTATGTGTGTATGTGTGTGTGTGTCTGTAAGTATATGTGTGTATGTGTGTGTCTGTAAGTATATGTGTGCGTGTCTGTAAGTGTATGTGTGAGTGTCTGTAAGTGTATGAGTGTGTATGTGTTTCTATGTGAGTGTGTGTGTGTCTGTAAGTGTATGTGTGAGTGTGTGTCTGTAAGTATATGTGTGTGTGTTTGTCTGTAAGTGTATGTGTGAGTGTGTGTGTGTGTTTGTCTGTGAGCAGAGTAATTGTAGAATAGAAGAAAGAAGGAGCAGAGTATTTGTAAAAAGGAGAAAGAAGGCGCAGAGTACTTGTAGAATAGGAGAAAGAAGGAGTAGAGTACTTGTAAAAAAGGAGAAAGAATGAAAATAAAAAGGAAAAGGAGAGAATTGTTGTTGGCTAATAATAGTAAGTGGGCTGCCTAGCTCAGCCTTCCTACTGGACATTGCTATAAGTAAGGTTAAAAACATAGAAAAAAGGAAGAAAAAAAAGGTGGGGAGGGGAATTGAGGAGGGAGAGGAGGGGAGCGGACGCACAGATGAGAAATCATATTATGCGCAAACAGAGAAATCGTCTGAATATCACCAAAAGAGGAGACCTTCGTTTGTTCCTTATGAAACATGCATTAAGTAGAAATAAAAAGATAAATGTACGTAATTTTTTTTTTTTTAAAACACCCTTCTTTCTAAAAAATATTCTGCACTTGTGCGAAAACTGGTGGGCGGTAAGGACATTTTTCCATCAAGAAAGATGCATTAGTGGGCGGTAGGTAGAAAAAGGTTGACTACCACTGCTTTAGAGAGAGTTCAGAGAAGGGCTACTAAACTGGTTCATGGATTGCGGGATAATTTACCAGGAAAGGTTAAAGGATCTTAACATGTATAGCTTGGAGGAAAGACGAGACGGGGGGATATGATAGAAACATTTAAATATATAAAGGGAATCAACACAGTAAAGGAGGAGACTATATTTAAAAGAAGAAAAACTACCACAACAAGAGGACATAGTGTAGCAAGGATCATCATAGTGCCAGGAAAACATACTTCGCTTTCCTGGCACTATAGTGCCCCTAGGGTGCCCCCACCCCTCAGGGACCCCCCGGGCTCTGGAGAGAGGGTTAAACACTTACCTTTCTCCAGCGCCGGCGGAGCTGTACCTCCTCTCCTCCTTGCTCGCTGATGCCATGGCTGAATGCATGCATTCAGCATAGAAAGCATACAATGCTTTCCTATGGATTGCGTGCCTCACTGTGATTTTCACAGTGAGCATGAAGCGCCTCTAGCGGCTGTCAATGAGACAGCCACTAGAGGCTCTGGAGGCTGGATTAACCCTCAGTATAAACATAGCAGTTTCTCTGAAACTGCTATGTTTATAAAAAAAAGGGTTAATCCTAGAGGTACCTGGCACCCAGACTACTTCATAAAGCTGAAGTGGTCTGGGTGCCTAGTGTGGTCCTTTAAATTAGAGGGACAAAAGTTTCAAAATAATATCAGGAAGTATTACTTTACTGAGAGGGTAGTGGATGCATGGAATAGCCTTCCAGCTGAAGTGGTAGATGCTAACACAGTAAAGGAGTTTAAGCATGCGTGGGATAGGCATAAGGCTATCCTAACTATAAGATAAGGCCAGGGTATAATTAAAGTATTTTTAAAAAATTGGGCAGACTAGATGGGCCGAATGGTTCTTATCTGCCGTCACATTCTATGTTTCTGTGTTTCTTTGTTCCCCATGGAGATGCATTCATTCATTTCATCTCTATGAGGAGATGCTGATTGGTGCAGCGTGGCGTTTTGCCACACATGCGGAATAGCCTCCCAATGCTTTCCTATTAGAGAGCATTGGATTGGCTGAGATCATCAAGATAGATGATCGCAGTCATGGAGACAGGGCCAGCTTCGGCAAGACCAGCTCAGCATGGGGGGGGGAAAAGGTGGGTAAAAACCCCTACCCATGTGATTGGAGGGGGACCGGTCAGCTAAACACACACTCACTCACTGACACACACACAAACTCAATGACACACACACACATTCACTGACACACACACACACTCACTGACACACACACTCACATTCTCTGTCACTGCAATAACACACATTAAGGTGATCACTGGAGCTGGAGTGGTACAGCTTTCCCTGGGGTCCAGTGGGGCTTCAGTCATCTCCCTGCTCTGCTCCAGAGAGTGCTGTTTAGTGATGCCAGGGCCGGAATGACACATATTCTGGCTCCCAGCATCACGGAATGGTGCACGAGGGAGCAGAGCAAGGAGGGAGGTTACAGCTCCCTCACCCGCCTGCCAGTCTGCGTCAATCTTCTAGGAGCATCCCGCATGTGAGCACACCGCACACTCTCCCTAAGCAGGATGACTGACCACACGCCCACACTCTCCATCAGCTGGCTGGCCAGCAGGCCGAAAGCAAATGCTATCCATTTAGCTGGGCAGCCAGCCGACCTACCACATGCCCATGCACTTCACTCATAGGCGGCTGACCACCTCAGTTGAATAGGCCAACAAATCTTTTTGGGGGGTTTGTCAAATGATTGCCCTACTCATTTAGCATTAGCCAATCTCTATAAAATAGAATGCCCTACTCGCACGCACGGATGCACGCGGACTTCGTCACTACCGTGGGCGGACGTGGGGTAACAAATTGGTATGGATCCGCAGCGGCCGGCATCTTCCAACATCCTGCAGGAGTCAGACATATTGATGCATGGCCGCTGAACGGCACTTCCACATTTGTCAGGAAGGCAATTACTGCAGATGAGGATGAATAAGTTACAATATGTTACAATTGTACACAACATAAGGGAAAGGGGTTCATAAACTTCTGTTTCAGAATGTTGCTCTCCATTAAACTCTTCATTAAACTTCAGCATAACCAAGTGCCTGTAGCTTGCATGTTTTATTCTCAGTAGAAAACAGAAGATTAAGGCCTCTATTAAATATTTTGAGTAAGCTTCTCAAATCATTTAATATTTTTGGAAAAACTTAAAGGAGCACTATAGTGAGAGGAAAACAAACTCGTTAAAACCTCTTCAGCCACTTACCTTTCTCCAGCACTGGGCTCCCTCAGCGCTGGTGACCTCTCCTCCTTCTGCCGACGTCAGTGCAGAATGCGCATGCGCGCACGCATTCAAACACCCCATAGGAAAGTATTACTAAATGCTTTCCTATGGACGTCCAGCGTCTTCTCACTGTGATTTTCACACTGAGAATCGCGGAAGCGCCTATAGTGACAGTTGGGGAGACAGCCACTCTCTGAAACTGCTATGTTTTCAGCTGCAAGGTTAAAACTAGGGGGACTTTATTGAGCTGAAGTGGTCTTGGTGACTATAGTGTCCCTTTAACTTAATATTACCATTTTAGAAATATATGATATATTAAAAATATATCAATAATATCAAATCATTAACTATTTTGAAAAGCTTTTTCAAAAACATGTTGAAACCTAAATTGCATGTTCTTCCTGTTGCTTCGGGACCTTTTTAAAATACTGTCACACTTCCCCTATCTACAACCATGTTAATGATGATTTACTTCCAAGTTACCCTTTTTTTTCCCTTCAATCATCCTATGAGCTGAAAGCTGATCTTACCTTCAGGGTGAAGCCTTTTGCCACGGTCCCAGGAGCACATTTATCCAGTTTACCCCATGTACCCCACTGACCTCCATTCGGAACTTTGATAATAGGCATGTGCATGGGGAAAATTTTCGGTTCGGCATTCTGAAATTCGGGACTTCGGCAATTCATCTATGCGGACATTCGGAAGTACCCGAATGTCCAAATTGCCGGAAATTTGTCCGAATTCACATTCGGACCGAAATAAATTGTCCATGTTTTTTTGATAACTGTTCCCGCTGTCTGTCCAGCAAGGACAAGGATGAAAGACAGAAGAGTGAGGACCATCATATTCTTATCGATGTCT